AATGCAGGAAAAAAAAGAAATTAACAGTAAAACCAATTTTTGCAAAAAATATATTTTACGACTTTTTGGGCCTGCTTCTATATAAACCCGACTTTAAAACAATCGGATTGCGTCTCAGGGTTGGAAGGTTTATGATTAACTCAGAATTTTAATGAGTTTAACTAACACGTTTATTTTCAAGTGACAAAATATATTCTCTTCGCCTCAGAATTAAAGTTATCGTCTTTTGGCTTTCGAAAAAGAGCTTGAGCATAATCAACAGACTCGTGCCACCATCCAATAAGAAGAAGATTCATCCCTTCGACGTTTGATTAATTAGTTAATTCCTGATGTTCACTTTTGTCATTTCCATGTACTGTACTGTTCATAGAATTATCCGATCAGAAATAAACGTTGAAGGGATATTTTTGAATTTTCTCTCAGCAGTTCAATCAACATGTTTTTGTCTTTACCGAATTTGTTATTCCCCCGACGTGTGTTATTTATTTTCAGGATACAGCTCAGGAATTTCTTCAGAGTTCCTTTCATTCTACGATTTTTAAAATACCTAATTGTTTTTAGTGTGAGGTACATTATACTGTATTCCTGATCATATACTTGCTCAGTGGTGAAGCTGAGGTCATCAAAAGCCCCCCCTTTTTTTTTTGCTCGTGATGATCCATCCCTTGATGTGCGCTTGAAAATTGATGGAAGAATATCCGTGATTTACTTCCGATTATTCTTCTAATATTCAGATCAGGATATCCGTACGACAACAAGGGCAAGAAATTGAATTACAAGAAAGGCGTGAGTTCCTATGGAGAACATAAGCACGGTTCCACCACTTACTACCACGGACCCATGAAGCAAGTATTTTCTCGAAATTGAATTCATATACAGTACGAGATAATTCTTTTTATGAGCTGTTTAAAAAAAGATTCAATAGTCATTCGTTCATGATAAGATGCTTCCAAAAAGATTTAAAAAAAAAACAGGTATAGTTTGTCTACAATCATGTTGGATTATATCTGAATCAAAATAATTTCCATTGCTGGCAATGAATGAAACAAAGAAGCTCATTCGCTGAGAAATTCATGGACAGTTTGGCTACTTGGTTCCTTTATAACAGCAACTAATTGGGCATATACACTATGTATAGCAAACACATGTTCACACATTGTAGTGATTTGTGTAACGTGCTGTCCTTGAGTCCCTTTTCCAGACTTTTCCAATGTGTCTCGTATAGCAGACATATAGGTGTGTTTCTACACCGCTTACCTGAAATGAAAAAGAAAAACTTTCAACAATACATAACCGTACTGTACATTCAAGTATTTGTAGTGCATTTCATTGCTTTTCTTGAACTTTACACAGCAGAAATACTATTGAAAATCACAGCAATACATTTAGGGACTGCAGCACACAGATTGGAATTGCCACAGAGATTGAAATTTCAAAATTATTATTTCTCATCTTACAACTCCAGCACTGGGTTTAAGCAATGCATTCCATACGGATAATTCCATACAGATACAGTCCAGTTGTATTTTGTGGATTGTATTTTCTTTTATTTTTCCTAGCAATTTGTGCTCTGTTTCCTGCTCTGAAGTGATTAAATGTCAGTGAGTGGATTTGGGGTTGGGTGGGAAGGGGGTTTGGTTGTGGAAATCTTAATTGAACCTTGTGAATGCTGAAAAGCGGCACATAAAGTGTTCTGTTCATTCATTCTTTCATTCATTCATACAGATAGCACCAAGTGCTTCTGACACGTTCATGTGCAATTGAGAATAGGGAAACCCAACATAACCAATAAATTCAAACATAACAGGCTATACGCATGCTGCTATGCCCAAGTGTAATTTATGAATCTTTCATGCTTGTATTATTCGCATACCAGCTGGCAAATTGAATTCAAATTTGTTTTCGTTGACTTTCACAGAAAATTTACTGCTTCTTATTTGCATGCATGTACAGTACTTTATTTTAATTTCCTTCCAAAATTCAACGCAGAGTTTTTGTTTTGTTTTTTTCTTGCTGCAAATTTTGCAGGAATGGCCATGAGCACGTGACGGGCAAGAGTGTAAAATCCAGTGCATGCTCCTGCACCTCTGGTGGAACTTGCCACTGTGGCTCCTCTTGCGCCTGTCGCACCACCAATCAAGGCGCCTGCAGATCCTGCGGTACCAACAGCAGCGGCAGCAACACGGGATGCTCCTGCGGCGGCGGAGGCGGCAGAGGCGCCTCTTCTTCTTCTTCTTCTCATTCTCATCAGCACGATAACCAGCAGGAGTCAGAAGAATATCACTACACCACCAGCAATGAAGAAGAAGAAGAAGAGGATGATGATTGGCATGAACGAGCCAGTGTCCCGCAAGCAGCACCTGTTAGAAGGCCTCGGCCTCCTGCCAGGCCGAGAAATGTAAACAAGAACACCGGTCGAACGTCAGCCGCGGAACTGATCGAAAGCAGCACCAGCAGCGATAATGGCAACACGCCGACGATCAACATCGTCATCTCACCGCAGCAGGCACAGGGCAAAAATGATGAAAATAAGGTTGTTATTAATGACAACCAGCAGAATAGATTGCCCCAGGCGGGCGATAGCAGCGACACCAAGCTGCAGCGCGTGGAAGTGCTCGCCATCAAATCAAACGACGACAAAAACCAGCAGCAGTACGTCATCCTCAAGAATAATAATTAGCAACATCAGGCACATCATTCCATATACACTGTAAATCATGTGTGCAGCAATCATCATCTCGTCATTTTTCTCTCAACCGCGCTTGTCTTGCATTTTACTCATTCACCTGACGGCCGAAATACATTTATCGAAAATTCAATTTACCGTTCATTTTCTCCATTTTTGAAATTCTTTTCACGCGAACAGCAGCGATGCAGGCGTCACTGAAAATCCGTTTACTGTACATCTACAATGAATGACAAAGGTGTTTCTCTTGAAGTTTCCAATCATGATGTGCAGGTGTCACTACCAATCTCTTTTGTGCTCTGAGGTTTTGACAGCATTTTCCAGCAGTGACCTCTTGAAATGATTCAAATTTCATGTTGGTCAAGTTCAAGCCCTCCTAGATAAATTAATGAAGAACTATTTGAATCAGTGCTCCCCAACCTATGGTCTGCAGACATGGCGCTGGTCCATGGAAGATTTCTGCTGGTCTGCAGGAAATCTTCTGCAGCATAATGAATTTATCAAAAGAAGCCTTGAAGTCTGTTATCTTTATTCAAAATTTTGTTAAGACAATTCCAGAGTTGAAATTATCTGATGGAAAAATGAAGGTTGGCTATTCTCCCAACTATAACACTTGAGATAAATTTTTGAATGCTGAATTAATTTATTTTAATTTTTCATCCCGTAAAACATTTCTTCAATGTAACCTTTTTAATTTTTGGAATACATTTCCCTGGATAGCCGCTTCATTGGATTTTAAATTTTGACAAAAAATCATTTAATCATTGAATGTTTTTAAATACCTGCCATAAAGTCTTTCATGCAAAATATTTTGAGCCTGCAAAAAATGTATGAAACTCTGCAGGTCTGCAGAAAAATTTTGAAGAAATTTGCAGATTGCAAAATTTTTCACAGAAAATTGCTGGTCCAATGTGGCGCAGTCCCAAAAAGGTCAGGGAAAACTGATTCAAATCATCATATTTAAAGTTGCCAATGACTTACACATTCAGGACAAATCAAAGCAGAATATTTGAGACAGGGATTGTATTCAAGATGGAAGCATGTTGAGGACTATTAAAGGCTGGGAACACTTTGAGACTGCTGGGACTATTAGGTTATTTAAATATTTTGAGACAGACTATTTGAGAAAGGAAAATTTTGACTTAGGACTTGATTTCTTATGTTTAAAATCTCCCCCAGCAAAAATTTTGGATTCCCGCCAGGGATAGCTGCTACTTTTACACGTAAAGTGGCCGTTTCTGTTGATGGTAAAACAGTTTTGACTTGGGAGGAGGGCCCTGTTTTCCTGACGCAGTCAGGATGGGGTAAAAAACGTTATTAGTTGACGCTTTTGAAAGCATCAGAGTCTGACGCTTTTAAAAGCGTTTTTAACCCCATCAAAAAACGTTTTTCTGTGACGCTTTTGAAAGTGTCAGAGTCTGATGCTATTTTACCCTGTAAAAAACATTTTTCTGTGATGCTTTTAAAAGCATTGTAATTTTATTAGTAAGCAGACCAGCAACTCTTATTTTGTTATTGGAATTTATATATCCTATATTTAGATTGGGTCGCAGTTTGAATCCCCAGCAGGTTGCTTGTTTATTCATGTCTTTCCTTTGAGTGTGCGTGTGTGTGTGTTTGTTAACAAGCTGCTATGCACCCTGCATTCACAATGCTAGTACAGTGTACTGGCATTGTAAACACAGGGCTGCATAGCAGCCGTAAATATTTTTTTTAATCGTTTCTGTGACACCGTAGGGAACAGCATCACAAAAACAGGAATCTTGGCAGGAATATGGGGGAAGGGCGTAAGGAACAGCATAAAAAAAAGGGGAATCTTGGCGGGAATACAGGGAGGGGCCCAAACTGCCAGGATAACCATCAGGGGAAGTGGCAATCTTCTCCCTGTCTCTCCAGACGGGTATAATGCCCACTTTTTATGGTCTGAGTGGCCGCCTGGATAGACGTCCACTCTGGACGTCTATAAGGCCGTCTTTTATGCGCAAATGCAAGCGGATGACAGCCAAATTATTTGCTGGGCCTGCAGCAAACTTAAAAAAAATGTCTGCATGGCCCCTTCTAAGACTTTCTGTTTCATCTAGCTTTATATAATTCACTGGGTGTGAATAGGGTAGGTTAGCTCTTATTTTTGATGTCACCAAATGACCCTGTCTTGAAGTGCACCTGCCTCAAATTGACACTGTAGCATTTTCTGTATCCTTCATTTTAAATATTTTTGCATGAAATATTCACCTAATCATTCCCACGTTTATTTTCATTCGCCCTCACCAGGCATACAATAGACTAAAATGATGAATAACACGTGACACCAACATATGTTTCAAATATTACTCATGCAGGATTTATTACAATTCAGCCAACGCACAGGATTTTCAAACATACTCTTTCAAGTCGCACATTTTCCCGCAGACATTCTTGTTCTTGTTCTTTCTTATTTTGTTTCTGTCAGTTCAATGTTCATCTTGCTCATCCATGGCGACTAGAGACACTTTGGTCGTGGCAGATGGGATCACGTGATGACCATGATTGGCAGCAATGGCAGCTGCCAATTTCCGGCGCTTGCGACGATTTTGCAGTGTCATGGCGACCCACGCAACAATTAGCGGGATCGGAACCATGGATGCAGCGAGAGCAGGGACAGCTGAAATTGGATAAATGTTGCAGAATTAAATAGAATCACTTTCAATGTTCAGCAAAAAAGTCTCTGGCTTCAATTTAAGACCACAAACTTTTTTTTATGCCAAATTATGAATTAGATATGCGTTTTGGTCCATACAGTAATAATGCATCATGCTGCACAAAAATTGTTTTTAACACTGCAAGTATATTTTTGTTGTCTTTGAAAACTAGTTTTAGCATGAACTTCAAAGTGATTTCATTTGCTGAATGTGCTGTGCGATTGTTTCTTTTTTATTATACCTGAACGTCAAAAAAACACAGTTTTCAAAGAAAATCCAAGCAGAAAGGATGCTTATGATTTCTAATTCGGAAGAACCAAAAAATATAAATTCATTTTTTTAATTAAACTGCCATGAGAATATTTTACACCATCAGCAATCTTATGTTATTTAAATCTGAATATTAATTAACAAATAATGTAGTTTTAGCAGTTATTTCTACCTCATATAAACTTAAAATTGTCATACAAACAAAAAATTAGATACATTACATGCAGTGAATACTTCCCGAAAAAATATTTCAGGTCCGCAATTACTTTTTAATGGCCCCAAAAAATATCAAAAGACGCCACTCACTAAGCGTCATGTCTGCCCCAGGTTGTTCAAACGCCATTTTGAGCATCACAATCGCAATGCCCGAATTTTGCACACCAGTCTCAATGGAAATCGCAACGATATCCTCCAGCGGGAATTGAAAGAATTTCGCAATTATTGCTCCGAATGCGAATCCGGACCATGTCAAGACCATCGACGCCGTCACCAACTGCAAAAAAAGGAAACAAAGGAAAAGGTTCACTCTAAAAAATGAAAATCAGGTCTTATTGAAATTTTGAAAAGAGGAAAAAAAAGGAAAAAGATCCATCATCATTATCACGAACCTTCCAACTGATGAGTCTCATGATGTACAAATTAGTGTAGGTTCCGACAGTGAGAATGTAAATGACGAAGATCACGGCCACGGGTCGAAGCAGCTTCGAGCTGAGCACTTTGGCAACCTTGGGTGCGAATCTTTGCAATGCCAATCCGATCCCGCAGGGAATCACGAGACCCACTATCAAAATTGCGATTGTTTGGTAAGGAATGATCACTTGTTCGTCAAACAGGGTTCTTCCCAGGGTGAAGATCCAGGCTGGCATCGTCGCTGAAAAAAAATCAAGATCAGATTGAAAATTTTTTATTGAATGATTAAAAAGCAAGCAACTCAAAATTCAAGTCACTGAAGGTAAATCGAGCAAAATTTTCAGCCGAGGAGAGTAGAAACTAAAGCGTCCCAAAAAACTTTTGCGCAGCGGCAGAAAATTCACACCTTGGAATTCGTTCGCCAAAATTAAAATTTAGTACCTTAAAAATTCTACTAAAATTTTAATATCCATAGATTAGCTGAACTCATCTTATTGCTACTTGTGTACGACATATGGGGAACCAAAGAGCGCCTGAAATTTAATGCAAATCAAAGTGGAATAATGCATGCATGCATTCAGAAAAATTGAATGCACAATTTCTGATGGTGTATGGTTTGATTGATTTCATGAGAATACATAAAAAATACAGAGAGCTATCCAAGAAACCGACACAAACTTGAATGATTTCCGAAATTTCAGGCACAGTAAAAGTTTTTTCAGGACTGAGAGTGAGAGTGACATCTATCTTGAATATCAGAATTCGTCAATGCATTGACAAATGCATTCAATTCAAATCAATTTGGGTTGCAAATTTCTTGTGGCAAGATTGAACAACATGATACATTATTTCAAAGAAAATCAGTTTGTTTGACAATTCAAACTTTTTTTTTGGAACAGCAGGTCAGGAAAATGAACTTTGAGGTATACAGTAATTTGAAAATAATAATGTATAAAAGAAATATACTGTACTCTACTGAACAGAATTATGATCAGACATGATTGAGGGCGATTTTGAAAGGATGAATTGACCATCACTAACCAAAAGCAGCCAAACTAGAAACGAAGGTCATAGTGATGCTCAAGTTGAGATTTCCTCTGAGCAAAATGGTCCAGAAATTCGAAGCACCACCTCCAGGACAACAGGCTACAACAAACAGGCTGAGCTTCAGGGCTGTTCCATCCATCAGCCAGAGACACAGTCCATAGCCCACCTGTATTTTGTATGAGACAGCATGGTTTGAGAAACCCACAGTCTAGCATGCATACATTATATTTCATCATTTGAGCATTGCCCAACATTCTGGACCCAACTTATTGGCCCAATTTCTCGTTCGCTTCAGCAATATATATGCTGCCAAAAAAACAAACAAAGAATCCCTCACCAGAGGCATGAACAAGTACTGACAGCACAGGCCAACCACTGGCCCCACTGGCCTCCTCATGGTCGCCTTCACCACTGCCCAGTCCAAAGTGCATCCCATGTTGACATACGAGATGGACACCAAGAGCACCACTGATGCCATAAACACTGTGTCCACAATTCGCTGCTGCCTCACCACACTCACAATCAACTCCTCCTCACTCCGCATCACCACCATTTCGTCATCATTTTTCGTCGACACTTGTATGCGGGCATTGGCGTAGCCCAGATTTCGACCTCTCACGGTCACATTCAGCAAGCAGGTGTCGAGCGTTGCTGGAATTGAAATAGGTGTCGCTGTCATCACGGTGGCCACCGCAGGATCTGACACGTACGCCGATATGACGTTTGAAGGCGATAAAAAGCAAATGTCGCTGGAGTTGGTAGAATAGATGACATGGCGTTCATCGCCTTCCACTAGCTTGAGTACGGATGAAGGGACGAAGGCAGCGAGCGACACCTGTGTGAGGATGAGTAGTGGGAGCACGGGGGCGACACTCGCGTGCCACGTGCTGAGCCGCATCTCACTGCGCGGAATGAATGGTACAGATATCACATGTTCCAGCAATGACTCGGTAAGAAGGAGAAGCACTTGTTGTCGGCCTGAAGTGAATGACAAGATAAAAAATACAGTTCTTCATTTCATTCAAACGTGGGGTTCATGCTGTGAAATACTTGATATTTGCAGTGCATACATACATACACACACACACACACACACACACACCAAGACTTGATGGATGAAATTTTTTCTTGTTTCCCTCGCAGGACTGTTGAATATGTCACGCTCTTCTATATGCAGGAAAAGCGTATGCAAATAAACAAAAGACTTGTTTACCTCATGCGTCATCCAATAATCAGCACCAACTGCATGGTTCCCTTTCTTGTGCTGATGAAGTTCAATTTTTACTTTCTGCACTATAAAAAATGATCTCATGAATACCATGTTAACATATCATTTTCTGCTTGTTGAAAACCTTGTTATACTTCAAAATTACATTGATCATTAATTTCTTTTAAATCCCTTTTCCCATTCAGTAATGTACTGTAATTCAAGCTGTTTACACTGCCATCTCTATATTAGTGTGCCATCATCAGAAATTGTTAAGTTTAATTGACAATAAATGTGCACATGATTGGATTGTGATGGCAGCTTTGATGAAAGAAAAACAGGTAAAATCCAGTGACTGTACATAAAGAATGCTTATATGACAAATTTTTCATCACAAACATTATTTCCATGGCCCTGGCAAACAACTAAATCAATCCTGTTAGAACAAAATTGTACAACTCACTAACGCAACAAATAGCTTTTTATTCTTTTTTGTCATTCTCACTCATAACTCGTGGGAATGAGAAAATTACCATAGCAACGCTTTTTGCGGTGAAAAATGTTTCAATGTATTGGACAACCCTGAACGTTAGTTTTTCTTTGCATAAAAAAAACTACGATTTCAAGGTTATTCTATTGCATCAGAAAAATAAAAACAAACACATGTGAGGATTTTAAATTAATTTTTTGCAAAATTTAAAGAATTTTAGGGTTCTGTGATGTAACGTCATTTGACCTGTGCTGTGCGGGTCATCAATTTTCACGTGGCAAATTATCATACTGTATTTGGAAGGAGAGAAATTGAAATGACTTCCCTCGCTTCTATATTTTTGAATTAATTGAGAGTCTTTCGTCGCGTACCTCGAATAACACGTGTTTCACACATTGTATGGCAATGAGTAAAAATCTAGCAAATTACTGTAAATCACACCGATGAATGTAAGGCACTCCAAGCACAATAACACTCGCTGCCAAAATTCATTCACGAATCATGACTGATTTCCCTTTCGCAAGTACATTTCAGTACTGTATACCAAACACTGCGCAGTCATCGGGATGAAAGACCCGAATCCACTATACAGCTGGGCAACTGGTGCAATGGGAATGCGGGGCGAGGCTGCCGATGAGAGGGAAACCAGCCGGATCGGGGTGGAGCCCGCGAGCCTGTCAGTGAAGGAGTCCCGAAACCCGCCGGGTTCTGATGATGGGGAACCCGGGAGGGGAGGCTTGGCTTTTTCCCTCTGCTGCATGGCTCCATTTGGTGTCTTTATTGTTGTTGAAGCTATGGGACGAGGGGGAGAAGGGGAGGAAATTGAGTGAGTGCAGAAAGCGTGGGTCACACCCACACTCACTGCAGTGATGACTCCCCTATTGTGTGGGGTCAACTACTGTATATAGAAACATTGCCAACCGAGATGACAAACCCAGGCCCGACACCTGCAAATACCCGCAAACAGGCAGAAGTAAAACATGCAGTAAGGGGAAAAGCCAATAAAGGCTTTAACCATTACACAAAAAGCCATGTAAGGCTTTAAACATTACATTAACAGTACCCTGTGCCTTAATCCATCCATCTTAGGGATATCATCTATTTAATAAAAACCATTAACTGTTATTTATAAATTTGCCAGCATTTATAAATGTTGCCAAATGACATCTCGAGCGTATATACTGGAAAGCAAGAACTGCCAAAAACGGGCTCTCTGGAAGTCATCCACAATCTACCACCGAAGTACCAAATAGTGTAAAATGTCATTCTCCTTCCAGAAGCCAAATTGTTTTTGGCTTTATATGTGTCTCATGGTTCAAAACTTTCGAAAAATTCCATTTTGTGTGCGTCTGTTGTCTTACCTGCTGGGAAACAAAATTGATCTTGAGACTCAATAAGCCTTGTCTACTAAATGACCTAATATTGCAATTACCTTTTATGTGCTATGGAAAATTGATCACTTTGCGGGTGTGATGACTTGAGGACCTACAACAACTGCTGCTGATCAAGCCATGAGAGGATGTGAATTTAGAACACCACTTTCTGCCTTGACTCAATCTACTGAGGCAACAGTGCCAGCTGTCATTTGGTGTTGTGTTTGAGCAGCAGCTGAAATATCACATGGGAAACAGTACATTGCTCTGTGAATTCCAACAGCAGCGCTTTCCTGTTGCAAGTCAGAGATTTTGCTTTTTGCAGGCTATATAGTGCTTTTTGGTTTGACCAAAGGTCACTGAAACAGGACTTCAGCAGAGTGACCCAAGCGGCTCATGGGACATTTTTTACAAGCTGTAAGAGAAAAATTAGCAATATCCAGTAAACCCCTCCCAGTTATTCCTCTGGCTAAAGGTTGGGAAAACCCTGCCTTTATTATAAAAAATAATTTTTTTTTTGGCTTGCCCAAAATGTTTTTTGCACAAATGAATATTTCCTGACTTTGGCTACATTTGCCAGTGAAATTGTAAGTGTTACAATTTAAGTGCTATACCCTTTATAGCCTGAAAAGGGCTATACCATAGTAAAAACTAAGAAGTTCAGGGGATTGGTATAACCCTATACAGTAATCAGTATGTTTTTAAACCCCACATGGTGTAATTTTGACACTGTATCATGCCAATTCATTTACCATTTCCACAGTATATCAAGCCTTTCTATCATCCATTGCAACAACACAAATTAAATGCTCATAAATTAATTTATACCTCATGTTGCAAAACAAGGTATGTCTTCATGAAGTGCATTGACCTCATGTATTGCGAGATAAAGTCAGGAAAAGCAAGGGTGAATGTATGACCCATTTCCTCATGCGCTGTTGTGTATTTTTGTTACCATGGGCACAAGTGAATTTATGCGTATTCGCGATGTGTGAGGCGAAGCACACTGACGTGGAAAATATTTTTCTCTGGAATAAAATTTAAAAAAGTATTTGGAATGAGCATTAAAAAAAACGAAGGAGCAGTCACACGACCCGGAAATATTTACATAGTGTCTATATGCGAACACATTATGAATCAGGTGTCTTCCTGTGAATATAGTGAGCGCCTTTTAGTTAAATGTAAAGTACTGAAAATATTCAAGCTATGTCTGTGACCACTGACACTGTGAGGGTGGTGGTTGAAATTTCTTTCATTGCTTTTTATTATATGGGATATTTTTGGCTTTTGTCCAATTTTCCACACATGCAATATAACTTCCGCCGACCTTCACCTAGTTCATACTTGGTTGATTCCGCAAACTGGGCAGTTTCCTGGTGCCTGAACTACATTCAAGTTCTGCTTGAATTGTTTTTCAATGAATGAATGAATGAACAGAACACTTTATTTGCTGCTTGTCAGCGTTCACAAGGTACAGCACAATCAAGATCAAGATTGTTTTTCAAAGCAACTGCCTCAGAGAAATTCCTATTTTCCAAAAATTCTTAGACTTCGATTATCGTATTTTAATACTATTGGAAAATCATCAGAATAAAATGTTTTTTAAATTAGAGTGAAACTGAACAGAGTTGGCAATTTTTCACTGAGATGCCATCAAGTTCTTGTCTGTTTCACACAAAAACCTTGCCAAATTTTCGCTTTTTTTCCTTCATGTTTTCCCTTGAGAATTCATTGACGTCTACTTGTAGATATAGTCCTCTGCCAGGTTCATCAATGCATCTTGATCTGATTTTGTAAGTTACAAAATTATCCGAAGATTTGCTGAAATCAGGTTTCTATTTTGACGAAAAGAAAATCAAAGAACGACTTATTTTCCCGCTTCGCGAATCTATATGTTCTTGGCAGAATTACTCGAGCAAAAACCAAGAAAAAAAAACAGCGGAAAAAATAGACTTCGAAAACGACTCATTCAACGGATTGAAAAGCTAAAAATGTTTCCCTTTTTTTCATATTCAGTTGAATCTGCAAGGAACAATTCAAGAAGAGAAACTGTTCTGGAAATTCATACATAAGAGCGAAGCGTGAGGAACTCAAAAGGTTTATTATCCTTGGAGCACTGTTGTATCGACAATAATCGAATCCCCTTGCAAAATATGAAGTGCAAGGACTCCTGCCTAAATGCTTGATGGTAAACGTTTTATTTTGGACCTCGAACGATGAAGCTTTGATTCATGAGGCTCCGAGGAAAAACGCAAGAGGAATTCGTGCAGCACTGAAAGTGGCTGGTGTCCCCAACCTTGGGGATTCAGTCCGCTGGAGGCAATCATAATCACGCATATCAGGGATTTTACAAAAGTTTTTTCTCTATATTTTTCATTCAACCATTCTATGCAGCAAAGTTGGGATTTTTTTGTGCAAAATTTTGTGCCCAATAGGAGCACTGAAAATTAAAAAAAAGCAATCTCATTTTTTAACCAATGCCAAAATAGGAAGAAGTCCAATACTTTTCTCTTTCAGCAGGACTTTTTGGCAGAAAAATATGAAAGTTCCTCGCTGGATGGGATTTTTTCCTGCATTCCTAGCAATATTAAGATAAACATTCAAGATTTCTCAAAGCAATATGATTCACATACCTGGATTTTGAAACTTGTACCTTTCCGATTTTGTTGAACTTATATCAAACCAAAATGTGTCTGCCTTATTTATACATGGACAAATCCTGACTTTGCCACACATGATAGAAACAAACCCATGGTTGTTCAAGGGTTAACTGCTCATGCAAGCTGCCATGACACCATTATAGTGACTTACATTCAAGAAAAATGTCATGTGATAATACATATGCCATTTTTAAATTCAGCACTATTGAGTCAGAAACAGTAAGAGCTTTTTAGCCTAAAATTTGAATAAAAATCTATCCCCAAGAAACTCACTCACTAAACTTTGAGCGACTGGAAAATTTGCAATGACTGTACCTCGAAAATACTGTCAAGTGTACTGTACTAAAGATATCAACTTTTGACTTGAATTGAACAATTCAATTTATTTTTCATTTTTGCTGAAATGGGTCCAAAATTCTTCATTAGAATCCAAGTGTGAGGTGCACGTAAACTTACAACCTTTTGAAAATGTGTATATTGTACCTACCTATGACACACCTTTATTTTTTCCTCTTACTCATGCTAAAAAAAAGTTGCATCTGGCATACCTGAGTATATGCAGTACAGCCGTACAGTACTTCCCACCGAAGATGACTCACATCATTACATAAACAGTGTTCCAAAAATAGCCAAGCACTTATTTTTCAGAAAAGAAAACTAACAAAGAATTTTAAAGTTGGTCAAAAACATTTCCTCGCAACAACAAGAGTAGCGTCCTACGCTTGTGACACGTTTTTATTTTTTTATGGCATTATATATATACTCATTCATTGATGCTGTATATTTATATTTGTGATTGATTCGCTGGAGTGCTGAAAATGTAACGGGAGTTTTGTGGTGCCCCTCGCATACCATATGTGGCCTGAAACCACATGATATCTGCACTTACGCCCAGCAGTTGGTGACGCAACACTCGTTCTTGAAAAAAAGTCGACCGAGGGGAAAACAAGCGAGTGGAATTATACTCCGGTTTCTGTCTGCCGCGAAATAGGAGTAATAAGTCGTTGTTCTTCATCCTCTTGTTATTCACGGTCGTCTCATGCCTTTCTTCTCACCTGTTTCTCATGAAAAAAAAGGGGTTGGAATTTTTATGAATACTCTGCTCTCTGTTGAAATCTGGTTTTTAATCATTGCATCTTCATTAGAAATATACAGCAGTTTGTGTAGGCGTTTCGAGGGCGAACAACTCTCATGCGCGCGACATCTAGCCGCGGCTTCTTTTCCATAACGTAAACGGCGCAGTACAAATTATGAGGTGTCGCTAAAGCCTCGCTCAGTCAGTCTTTTCGCTCGGATCCTCATGAATATTCTCCTCTTATTTTGAATTTCGGATAACCAAATCCCATCAAAACGACGCCAGTTTGATTTAATGCAACATTACTGCCCCTTTAAAGGCTTACTGTGCATATAAAAAAACATATCAATTGGCTCCTTTGAGGCACTCCGGCAGCAGCAGGGAGTCCATCAGGTTTATATCACGCGAAATAGGCAGTCAAACGTGAAGTTAAACTGCCATATATATAAATCATATGCTGCAGAAGAAGGTAAACAAAGATTGGGCTCTTAAATGAACCCCCCGCCTGGAATGTGGCTGTGCTGGTGATGGTCAGAGAAAAGTGAAATCGTGTTTCCAAGGTGCATCATGTGATGCGCTTTATTCTTGCGCAACTGATGCATGACCTTTAATTTATTGCATATATATATACTGTTCGTATACGACTACTGTG